AGGTGTTTGGATGAATGTTAACATTTGAGAGCCACTGTCCTAGAGAAACAACTCAAACACAAACAAAAGGGTTCACTCAGAAATTTAGACAAATACATTATCTTTCCTGTCTCCAGATGAGAGTTGGTAGAAAAACTAATGGGAAAATTTCACTCATTATACTAAATAAAATAAACAAAGATAATCTCAAAAACTATAAATTTTGTTGATAAGTTTATAGAAAAGGTTTAAATAAAACAGAGGGACCTGCTTCCTTGGCTATTAAAACAAGTTTGAAGAAAAAATCCATTTTCTCCTAAACTGATCTATAAATTCAACATAATCCCATTAGGATTTTCTTTATTATGTGAAAAACAAAGTCATAAAGTTTCTCTAGAAGGAAATAGAGAGAAGGCAGGAAAATTCTTTTAAAGTATAACAATATTCTATATACAAGATCATGTGATTTGCAAATAGAGATGGTTTTATTTCTTCCTTTTCAATCTGGATGTTTTCTCATACTTAAAATCCTAGGGACTGTATTAAACTGTTCATTTCTAATCTAGGCTAATGCTGTATTCTATCATTTTTTTCTAAGTATCTCTCTTAAAAGAAAATTCTTTAATTGGATTGAGATACAGATTATAATAAAACTTTTATATGACATATATATGTAATAAAACTTTTCATAACTAAATTGTTATTTTAAATGAGTTAGAGATTTTTAAGGCCTGAAGTATTGAAGAAATGCCAGGCCTCCAGGAAAATTACTGCTAAACTATTAAGAAATATAAAATTCTACTGATAAACAAATTCTCCCAAAATAAAGAATTAAAGAAAACCTTTTTCTTTGCCTTCTGAAGAAAATATAATGTTGCTATTAAAATGAATAAAGATGACTCACCAAAGGGGAAAAAAAGTTACAGACTGTAGTCACTTATAAATAAGGAAACAGAAATTATACTTTAAATATTAGCAAACTGATTCCAATGCATTAAAAAATGACAAATTGCAATTGGAAACTGCATAAATGGTGTTGGCTAGTGTGTTGTATGAGGTCATTTTACATCCCTTTGGGGATAAAGGGTGAATCCACCAGGATGGCCATAGGCGATATATAAGAAAGGAGACACATTAAAGTAGAGATCTATCAAGGAGTGTATTAGTTTTCTAGGGTTGTATAATGAATCCCACATACTGGGTGCTTAAGCAATAGAAACTTATTGTCCCACAGTTCTAGAGGCCAAAAGTTCAAAATCAAAGTGACTGCAGGGTCAGTTTGTCCCAGGGCCATAAGAAAAGTATTTGTTTCAGGCCTCTCTCCTTCATAGACAGCCATCTTCTCCCTGTCTCTCCTCACATTGTCTTCCCTCTGTGCATGTCTAGCTGTCCAAGTTTCTCCTTTAAATAAGGACATCAGTTATATTAAATCAGGGCCCACCTTAATGACCTCATTTTACCTTACTCACATCTGTTAAAGACCCTGTCTCCAAGTACAGTCACATTCTGAGGTACTGACGGTTAGGTCTCTAACATATGAATTTGGGAGGACACAATTCAACCCATAATGGAGAAGGAATTAATAAGCAATGTAAAACTTGTTTTCTGAATCCACCTATGTTGATATGTTTCCTGCTGGAAACTGGAGTGAAAGCTGATGGGCGGCACAGCTCTTCTGACAGTGGAGGGAGCTCTGAAGAGAGCCATTGGTTCTGACGCTTGCTTGGAGCTGGTGTACTTGGTGCCCTCAGACACAGTGTACTTGGCCAGCTCACTGGGCAGGAGCAGGTGCATGCTGTCTGCACCTTTCTGGAAGTGATGGTCGAGTACCTATTACTAACGCACCAGGCAGGAACGTGCTCAGAAAAGAATTCATCTCTCTTAAAAAAGACTTCCCCCTCTTCAGACACCAATCACAACCTCAGGATGTCACCTGTGCTTCTGACTGACTGGTTATAGATCAGAGGCTTCCGTGACCCCCTCCTCAGGTTCAATTAATTGCTAGAGCAGCTGACAGAGCTCACAGGAACATTTTACTTAACTAGATTAACAGTTTATTATGAAAGAGTAAAACTCAGGGACAGCCAGATGGCAAGGCATGAGGGAAGGGGTGCAAAGTTTCCACGCCCTCTCCTAGTGCACCGCTCTCCCCAAATCTCCACATGTTCCCCAACGCTGAAGCTCTTGGAACTGTCCTTTTGGGTTTTTACGGAGGCTTCAGTACTAGGCGTGACTGATTAAACCATTGTCCACTGGCAACTGATTCAACCTCCAGCCCCTCTCCCCTCCCTGGAGGTGGGGGGAGTGGGACCCTCTAATCACATGGTTGTTGCCCTGACAACCAGCCCCCATCCTTAGGGGCTTCCCAAAATCACTCATAAAGATAACAAAAGACACCTTTATTGCTCTTATCACAGGAAATTCTAGGTGTTTTAGGAGCTCTGTGTCAGAAACAGGAACAAAGACCAAATATATACTTTTTACAATAAATCATAAGATCACACACACTTTCATTGGCCTTACTTTCAGGGACCCCACCAATTTCTCTTTGTGAAAATAGGAGAAAACTCCCCTCCTGGTTCTGGCCAAGGGAGGAGAAAAGCAACCATTGTGAAATATACTCAGAATGTTCTCCACAACAGGGGAAGACAAGCAGAGCTTTATCCCACCAGGGAAGGGCATTTCTCTCACTCCAGCCCCTCTCACCCTCCTGTCTCACCTAAAGAAGGCAAAAGAGCTAAGAAACACCTGTGAAGGTCATATCCCAGGGACACAAGATCACCAAGAGATTGAGATTTAATCACAGCATTATGGCACACTCCCCCTGCTCACAGCCTACCACCACCCTAACAGGGCTCTAGTATAATAAGAGCACATCAGGTTTGAGAGAGCTGTAAGAGGCAGACTGTATCTGAGACAGAGTTCTTAGAGAGGCTCAAAGACAACAGGACAGACAAAAATAAGGACCTCAGGAGAATTTAAAGCTTCTGGTGCCTTGAGTTAAAATCAACACTAAACACAGCCCAACTCTAGTCCAGACCAGCTCCAATCCAGAATAACATAAATCCTCACACTCAAAGCCAATTAGCCATAGTTCATATTACCCAGTACATCATGTCCAGCTTTCAACCAAAAATACTAGCCATTTCAGAAGGCAAAAACAGACATAGTCCAAATTCATAAAGAAGCATAGAACCAGACTCAGATATGACACAGGTGTTGGAATTATCTATCAGACCAGAATTTTAAAACCGTGATTAAGATGTTAAGGGCTCTAATGGATAAAGTGGACAGCATACAAGAACAGACAGACAATGTAGGTAGAGAGATGAAAATGCTAAGAAAGAATCAAAAGGAAATGTTAGAAATTGAAAACACTAACAAATGAAGACTGCCTTTAATGAGCTCATCAGTCAACTGTCTATGATCTAGGAAAGAATCAGTGAGCTTGGAGAAATGTCAATAGAAACCTCCCAAACTGACATCTAAAATGAAAAAAAAATAGTAACAATAAATAGAAAACAGAATATTCAAGGACTGTGGATAATTACAAAAGGTGTGGCATACATGTAATTAGAATAGCAGAAGGAGAAGAGAGGAGGGATAGAAGAAATATGTGAATAATGGCTGAGAATTTTCCAAAATTAATGATGGAGACTAAACCACACATCCAGGAGGTTCAAAGAACACCAAACAGGATAAATCGCAAAAAAACTATACCAAGGCACATCATATTCAACTACAGAAAATAAAATATGAAAATATCTTTAAAGAACCAGAGAGGGAGAAAACACTTTAACTACAGAGAAACAGGATAAGACTTCTCATCAGAAATTATGAAAGCAAAAATTGTGGCATGAAATATGTAAAATGATGATATAAAAAAGTCACCAACCTAGAATTCTGTATCCAGCAAAGTTATTCTTCAAAAGTGAAGGAGAAGTAGACTTTCTCAGACAAACAATAATGGATGGAATTTTACCAGTAGACCTGCTTTGCAAGAAATGGTAAAAGGAGTTCTTCAAAGAGAAGGAATATGATGAAGGTCAGAAACACAGATCTACATAAAGAAAGGAAGAGTATTAGAGAAGGAATAAGTGAGGGAAAAATAAAATCCTTTATTTCTCTATTCTTAATAACTGATAACTGTTCAAATAGTAACAGCAATAATATATTGGATGATAATGACAGCAATGTTATAAGGGATGGAAGGGAGGAAATGGTAATACTCTATTATTCCTGTTTCTAAGTTACCTGCACTACCCATGAAATGAAATAGTGTCATTTGAAAGTGAACTGAGATTGGTTATAAATCTATATTTCAAACTCTAGGAAATCACTTAAAAAAGCTTAAAAAGAAGTATAATTGGTATGCTAAATTGAGGATAGGGTATGGAATCATATCACAGTACAGCCATGAAAGAGATCTCTAAATATCCTTAACGCCCATAACCACTCTCAAATGACAGCAGTTACAAGTCTTTCCCCAATTAGAAGTTGTTATTTAATGCATTGATAAAAGTGTACATTTATAACTATCTGACAAATTTATATATTTTTGATAATTTGTATATATTTTGATAACTTATTTCAATATAATTGATTCTTTGCAATTTATTTTATGCATTTAAAAACATTCTGAAGCATTTTACTTTATGCATTAAAAATATTTTTAAATATTATGAGCTTTATCAAACTACCAGAGTGGTTCATAGAACCAAAAAAAGAAAAAAAAAAAAGATTAAAATTCTTGCCATCTATTAAAACTAAACAAAAGTGAAAACTCCTAAAAAAAGAAAAAGTTACAAAGGCTCATTAGGAAGGGTATTTAAGATGTGACAGAATTCTTTCTTACCATTGAGGCAGTGGGGGTTCACTACAGTGGAGATAACCTCAAGCTGAACCTCATAAAATGGATATAGACACAGTGGAGACCCCATTATAAGGAACTTGGCTGGGAGAGTTTTTAAATTGGAGAATGGGTGCTTCAGAGGAACTTTCATGCTTCATGCGTTCTATGGATGCTCCAAGGTGGGTGATGATGTGAGGGAGCAGGGTGGACCCCATCCACCCATACTGAGTGTCATCTTCTCTTGGGGTCCTTGTTATCAGGCCAAATGTGGAGTGCAAGCTTCTAGAAGTTTCTTCCCTCCTTGGCCCATAGAGGAGGAGGAGAGTGCTGAGGAAAAACAAGGGAGCTGTGCACGGAGATGCAACACCCACTATGACGCCAACCGGAACCCAGACCCGACGCCCACCCCAACCCAGACCAGCTCAGCCTGCAAGCTGACTGGCGTGCTCCAGGACGCCAACCTGACTGTGGGGTCAAGCCCATGCAAAGCAAAAACAAGGGGCAGGCGCCTAAGCAGAATGCCTCACAGACCAATCAGAGCTTAGCCTGTCATCACGCTGCCCAGCACCTGGCCAATGGGAAGGCGGCAGCCTATATAAAAGCAGGCAGGCTCGGGCTTCCCTGGTGGCGCAGTGGTTGAGAGTCCGCCTGCGGATGCAGGGGACGGGGTTCGTGCCCCGGTCCGGGAGGATCCCACGTGCCGCGCAGTGGCTGGGCCCGTGCGCCATGGCCAGTGAGCCTGCGCGTCCGGAGCCTGTGCTCTGCAACGGGAGAGGCCACAGCAGTGAGAGGCCCACGTACCAAAAAAAAAAAAAAAAAAGAGGCAGTCAGGCTTGCCACTTACGCGTCAGGGAGCAACTGAGGAGGCTGTAACAGCCCCTTGGGTTCTCGGGATAGCAGAGAAATAGCACGAACAAAGCAGACGGCGCGGAAGCCCATTGGCGGCAAAGCACCTCGCAAACAGCTGGCTACCAAAGTAGCTCGGAAGAGCGCGCCAGCCACGGGGGGCGTGAAGAAGCCGCACAGGTGCTGGCCGGGCACTATAGCACTGCGCGAGATTCGTCACTACTGGAAGTCCCCAGAACTTCTGATTGGTAAGTTACCCTTCCAGCGCCTGGTCCGGGAGATTGCGCAGGACTTTAAGATGGACCTGCGTTTCCAGAGCTCGGCTGTAAGGGCACTGCAGGAAGTCTGTGAGGCATACCTGGTGGGTCTTTTTGAAGACACCAACCTATGTGCCATCCATGCCAACCGTGTCACTATTATGCCCAAGGATATTCAGCTGGCACGCCATATCCACGGAAAATGTGCCTAAACTGCGCAAGCAGCCGTTGATCTCACCCCAAAAGCTATTTTAAGAGCCACTACCTGCTCACAAAGGGCACTGTACACAAACCAAGTAGCGGGTGCCTTTTCTCTCCAATAAACCAGAGGCCTAGCTAGCTGTGTGTCAGCGTAGTCCCTTACTGGGTTTTGTTTCTGTTTTTTGTTTTTGTTTTGAGGTTCGCGGGCCTCTCACTGTTGCGGCCTCTCCCGTTGCGGAGCACAGGCTCCGGACGCGCAGGCTTAGCGGCCATGGCTCACGGGCCTAGCCGCTCCGCGGCATGTGGGATCTTCCCAGACCGGGTCACGAACCCATGTCCCCTGCATCGGCTCTCAACCACTGCGCCACCAGGGAAGCCCCTTATTGGGGTTTATTGATATGAAATCACTGGTTAGTTCCTAGTGTTTGAAGACGAAGAGATTTTCCTTTGCAAGTTAACCTTCAGAACAATAGCAGATCATTTTGTGTGCACCTGGTAACAAGTTTTCCAACCCCATAGAACAGTCTAAACTTGCTGAGAAACCCTACAACCACAGAGGTTCACCATGCTCCCAATAGTTGAGCTGTTTGGAGACAACCTGAGCATGGGTTTGAGGAAAAGAGTGTAAAGATTGCTTTTTTCCTACATTGGTGCTGCTTGGAAGCTTTTATTGAGGCTTTATTAAGTGGATAAAAGCGAAGCACTGTCAGGTCACTAGTCATACAAAGGGGACAAAATCCATTCCCTACTGTCCCTGTTTGGTCTGCACTTTCAGGATGCTTACAGCTGAGTGAAGGAAGTCTGTATGTAGAAGCAGTTAACATGCAGTGTGCTTTAGTGGTAGCTCAATGTTGTCAGTATGCAAGAGTGGGTTTCTGAAGTTTCTTTGAGCCCAGTTTGTTATCCAGTAGACTTAATATTCAAAATCTTCATCAATTAAAATAGTGCACACAAAACTTTTTATTTAAAAAAATTTTTTTTAATAAATTATTTTATTTTTGGCTGTGTTGGGTCTTCGTTGCTGCACGCAGGCCTTCTGTAGTTGCAGCGAACAGGGGCTACTCTTCATTGCAGTGCATGGGCTTCTCATTTATTGTGGTGGCTTCTCTTGTTGTGGAGCACGGGCTCTAGGCACGCGGGCTCAGTAGTTGTAGTGCACGGGCTCTAGAGCGCAGGCTCAGTAGTTGGGGTACATAGGCTTAGTTGCTCCGCGGCACTGTGGAATCTTCCTGGACCAGGGCTTGCACCAGTGTCCCCTGCATTGGCAGGTGGATTCTTAACCACTGCGCCACCAGGGAAGCCCAGTGCACACGAAACTTTTGAAGATTGAAACTAGTATCTTTTAAGTTTTAGAGTATAGGTAAGTTCATGGGTGACAAGTCTTTGAAGGGCCATCTGAAAGCCCAAGAGTGTCCAGGGACAGCTATGTTCTGGTTCTGAAGTCAGTTCTAACCTTCAATACTAGACTCCTTTTAAATAAACCCAGGCCTGAACTCTGTGCCTTTTTTGTGCTTTATGAAGTCTTTATCTTGCAAGGAATAGACTCTTGAATTCATATGATACACCTAAAGAAAGCACCAAATCCTGACTGGATCTGCACATCACCTGGTGACCCGAAAGTAAAGATTTCCTGGAATGACATGTGGAATTGAAGCTTTTCCAGGATATCCAGACCAGGCCTGTTGGAAGTTGGTCGCCAAGCCTTTGGTGGTGACATACTGCAGGTTATCTCCAATATCTATGATCTTGGTAACATATGGATTTCAGATTAAAAGTTCCTGAGAGATCTCCCTCCTACCCCTCCTTTTTACTCAAATGTGACCTTAATAGGTTTCCAATCTGTGCGCTTTCTTTCCAATGTGAAAGAAAGGACCCAGGAACGGTCCTTCCTGACATTGAGACAAAAAGTCACTGAAACTAAAAAACCTGACTCTTGATCAGCAGTGTTTTCAGAGAAAGATCTTGATCAAAAGGGAGTAAAGTAAAAAATTAATAAACCGAAACCTCAATTAAATAGAGTTAGGGTACCAGAACAGGGAGCTGTCATGCCCTGAGATGGTAGCAGAGCCCAGCAGGAAAAAGAAAGACTCCTCTTCTTTCCCTGCAAGGACTCAGGCAATGGAAAGACATGGACTCTTTTTTCTTTCTTTCTTTCTTTTTTTTACTATAACCCTTCCAACTTCCTTTTCTCTATAAAAGCATTCATTCTCTTTCCCTTACCTTGTGGGCGTCTTGCACAAGGCTCACCACAGTTGCAGACCCAGGATTGCAATTCTCTGCTGATCCAGAATGAACCCATCTTTGCTGAAGAAAACTAGTTTATGTGTTTCAGGTCAGCAAGTTAAAAGGAAGTCACTAGGGTGGTCTGGGCCCTAATCTCACGTGACTGGCACGCTTAAAAGAAGAGGAGATTATGACATACAGAGGGTCGTGTGATGACACAGGGAGAAGACAGTTGTAATATTGTGATTTACAATTAGAAATATATATTTGGTCTTCCTCCCCATTCCTAGTACAGAAATCCTAAAACCTTTGGAACTTCTTAAGTAATTAGAGTGATAATGGTTTTTTTTGTTACTCATAGCAAGCCCCTTTCAATCACAACAGAGTTTATGTTAATGAGGTGATTTTGGAAAGGATAAGGGCTGGTTCACAGGGGAACCAACCCTGTGATTAGAGGTTTGGAACCTTCATTCCCACCCTTGACCTCCAGGAAGGCTACAGCAGCTGGAGGTTGAGTTCGACCACCAATAGCCAGTGATGCAGTCAACTGTGCCTATGTACTGAAGGCTCCATGATAATCCCTGTAGTACTACTGGAGATTTTCTAGGTTGGTTAACAAGAACTCATACACGTGCCGGAAGGGTGGTGCACCACAACTCCGTGGGAACAGAAGCTCCTGCATTCAGGACCTCACTCTATGTATCTCTTTATCTGGCTGTTGATTTGTATCCTCTAATATCTTTTATAATAAACCAGTAATCTAGTGAGTAAACGGATTTCCTGAGTTCTGTGAGCAACTCTAACAAATTAATTGAACCCAAGGAGGGGTCATGGGAATTTCCATCGGTTGGTCAGAAGTACAGGTGACAACTTGGACTTTTGATTGGCATCTGAAGGGGGAGGAGTCTTGTAGGACTAAGCCCTTAACCTGTGGGGGGGGTCTGATACTATCTCCAGGTGGATAGCATCAGAATTGAGTTGAATTGTAGGACACTAGCTGGTGTCTGAGGATTGCTTGGTGGTGTGCGGAAACACCCCCTCCAACACACACACACACACACACACACACAAACATTTAGTGATCAGAAGTGTCAGAGGTGAACTAGAGAATTGTGAGTAAAGGAAACACACAGAAGTGTGTTTTTCCATAGCAACTACTGTCTACATGCCAAGGAGAGAGGAGACCTCAGGAGAAACCAGGGCTGCTGACACTTGCATCTCAGACCTCCAGCCTCCAAGACAGGGAGACAATAAATGTCTGTTGTTTGAGCTGCCCTGTCTGGGGTATTTGTTACATAGCCTGAGCTGGCTAATAAACTTTAATAATTACAATTAAAATTAGTGTTAGTATTAGTTATTTCCCTCCCTCCCACCCAGTGGTGGATTTTTGGCTTTGGGGACAAAAGAGATTTTTTTTTCACTCTCGCTCTAGTGGACAGAGCTGAAAAATCATGAGACTCTGGAGCTGTTAGTCACAGCTTTTATTGTCATGTGGAAAAAATCAGAATAAAACAGCAGGCACTGAAATAGCAGAGATGGGAGATGAAAGGCAGAGAAGGCTGGTGCTAGGGACTATGATCTCATTGTTCCCGGGGGGCCTGCTTGCTGAGAGCCCTGATATCCTTTGATAAATGTACCACACTTTTAACCCAGTTCAAATTGGGGTTTGTCCTTTGCAACCAAGAGTCCTAAGAAATATAACACTGTCCTTATTGTGACATACGGTGACTGGATTGGTTTACTCTCATGATTCACAATTACATAAGATAAAGTATTTAAAATGCATTCTAACTTGAGTACAGCGAGCCCTGGTGGCCAGTGCCTAGAGGGGCCCATGAAAGGAAGGGCAGTGGTGGTGCTAGGAGTCCGCTCTGACTACATGCACACCTGCACTTGTTGGAGAAATATAACTAAAAACAAATTTAAAGTGAGAAGAGAAAGAAAATAGTTTATTCTTCAGTAAGCACAAAACCAGAACGTGATGTACATCACCGGCAACCTAAGAGACTACAAAGACAGAAAGAAGTCTCGTTCTTTTACAGAGCTGAGTACACGCAACCCATTCAATACTTTAGGCACATTTTGCAATTTGGAGCCAGGTGATAGCTGAAGTTAAGCTCATTTCCTCTGGGGAAGTGGGGAGATGTGATTATGAAGAGGATCAGAATATGCCACCCCAAAATATGCCACTTTGGCACGTGGATTATTTTGAGTTGATGGTAATTGAGAATCAATAGATGCAGAAAGACACCTTCTCAGAGCTTCCCTTATCTAACTAAAAGCAGAAACTTCTGAGAAGTTAGGACTGCCATAAAGCCCCTCCCTGGGGGAGTTTTATGGGCATGAAGAAGATGGAAAGTTGCACCAAGATGAGTGCACAGACAAACCTCATTAGACAACACTTACCTGCCATACATTTCCTACTCACCTTCTCACAATGTAACACCTTTTGGTAAAATGGTATATAAGCTTCTGACTCTAACCACTTCTTGGTTTTCACTTTTCTGTGAGTGCCCCCAAGCATATAAAAGTATTAACATCAGTAGAATTTGTATGCCTTTTCCCCTGTTAATCTGTCTTTTGTCATGTTTGCAGGTACTGAATCTAAGAGGGTAGAGGAAAAGATTTTTCCTCCTCTACAATTACGTTTCAGAGATGGCTTCCAGGTGCTTGGGGAAACATTCCTGAGATGTGAGACTGACGAGGTCAGCCACCGAAAAGATTTATGTACATTTGAAAAGGACAGAGGGAGAAATTAGGAAACAAAAGGGAGATGGGAATGGGGGGA